CAGACATGGAGGAGGGTGTTCACATTCTGAAATAATTAAACTCAGTATCGAGTCCTGAGGTCTATAAGGTACATAGTTGGAAGATGAGGGCGTTGCTCCTCCAGCTTGCATTGAGCCTTGCTGGAGCATTGCAGTAGGCCTGAAATAGAGTTAGCATGGGAACATAGCAGCGTGTTGAAGTGGCAGTCAAATGGAAGCTCAGGTTTGTTTTTACAGATAAAGCAGAGGTGTTCAGCAAAGCCCTTACCCAGTCTGTGTTTTGCCCATTCTGTTTTCATTGCTTGCAAAGTGGTCTCCCCAGCTCCCACTCCCCAGTGTCAGCAGAAATACCACCATTTCCTAGCTGCTTTCAAAAGGGCACAAAATGTCAATTGTTTTTCTGTCCACAGATGCGGCAAAACCTGCTGAGTCTTTCCCGGTACTTTTGTTTTAGTTTGTTTCAGATCTCCAGCATCTGCAGGTTTTGCGTTGTTGTATTTCCGATCAGCTCAGCCCATCTCGAACAGCTGCCGAGTGCCAAGATCTTAACTCAGCACTGGGATTGGTCACTGATTTGATAATGCTGCTGTAAGATTGGAGAAGCTGGGACTGTTCTCAGCTCAGGAAGGCTTGAAGAGATATTTGATTAAGGTCTTCAAAGTCCTGTGGTGACTGGAGGGAGTAGATAGAGAGAAACTGTTCCCGTTAGAAAAACAATCAAGAACTAGACAGCACAGATTTAAAGTAATTGGTAAAACAAACAATGATGGCCTAAGGAAAATGGTTAGGATCTGGCAGGTATTGCCTGAGGTTGGAGGCAGTAGATTCAATCATGGTTTTAAAATGGACTGGGATGAATATCCAACAAGGAGAAACAAGCAGAGCTGTAGAGAGTGGTACTCTGAATTGCTCTTGGAGAGGGCTAGCACAAACATGACTGGCTGAGTGATCTCCTGTGCTCTAACCCTTCTATGTGTAAATAAAGAAGATAATTATTGGGTGATTTGAGCCAGTTTCATTCTGAATGCAATTATCATCAGATTCATTCACTCTTTCACTGAAACTCTACTCAAATATTGGCAAGGGCACCAGGAGAATGACCCTACTCATTGAATAATACCCTGGGATCTTTTCAGGACCCAAGATGGCTAAAAGGGCTTCCGTTTAATATCTCATTATCTCAATACTTGCTCACTACTGCATTAAAGGGTGAGTGCAGACAATGTTTTAAGCCTCTGAGGCGAGACTTGGAACCTACGTTCTCTGACTGCAGTGGGAGTGCTACCAGCTGAGACATGGCTGACACCACACACATTATAACAGTTTCACAATCCATTTTTTCACTTCAAATTTGGCTACTCTATCATGACCACCTTCACCCTCCTTGGGCCACACACAATTTGAAGGGCACTTGATCTTTGTGTCTTGGTGTAGAGTTTTGCTTAAGCACTGGACATGTGAGTTTGTGTGAGAAACACTGTGTCATATTGCAAAAAGTTGGTTAAGGAGCCATTGACTCACATAATACAGAAACAGGCCCTTTGACCCAACTTGTCCATGTCGACCAGGTTTCCTGTCCCATTTACCTGCATTTGGCCCATATCCCTCTAATTTTTTCCAATCCGTGTACCTGTCTAAATGTTGTAATTGTACCTGCCTCTACCACTCCCTTTGGCAGTTCATTCCATGTATGTACCACCCTCTGTGTGAAAAAGTTGCCCCTCAGGTCCCTTTTAAATCATTTCCCTCTCACCTTAAACTTATGCCCTCTAGTTTTGGACTCCCTTACCCTGGGGAAAAGACCTTGGCTAGTCACCTTATCTATGATGTGGAGGTACTGACAAAGTCAGAAATCAATGACACCAGGTTACAGATTGATTTTTTAAAAAATTATCTCTCTGCCTCAATTAATTGGATCATGGGTCATCCCTTTACTTGTTATTCAGCTGTAGACACCTTATACCATTTGACACTTTTGATCACCTGCAGAGACTTGTTATTCAGCCTGTCGACACGCCACTCACATCATTTGTACTATTTTTTGACACTCTTAATTATCTGGAATTATATTGCAATAGTCTCTCCACCTATAAATTGTGTGCCTGTGTGCTTCCCTCCACTTCATCTAACAAAAAGCAGCGCTTTGAAAGCTTGTGATTTCAAATAAACCTGTTGTACTATAACCTGGTGTTGTGTGACTTTGTCCACCTTATCAGTGGCACTCGTGATTTTAAAACCTCTATAAGGTCATTCCTCAGCCTCCTACACTCCAGGGAAAAAATGTCCCAGCCTATTCAGCCCCTCTCATAACTTGAACCTTCCAGTCTCAGTAAAATCCTTCTTTGCACCCTTTCCTGTTTAATAACATCCTACAGCAGAGTGGCCTTAATCAACTGGGCTAGTGGATCGAGGATTGGCAGATAGAGTTTAATTCAGATAAATGTGAGATGTTGCATTTTGGTAAGGCAAACCAGGGGCAGGACTTACACAGGGAATGGTAGGGTGCAGCTGTAAAACATGCAGCAGGAGACTGGAATAGTGTTGGTTGTTTTTCTTACTGTCCTCCACACAGTAGAAATTAATCAAATTAGTCCCTTCATTTCCCAGAAGCAATTACTGCTATTTTTTCTACAAGATCTCACTTTAACCTTTTAGGCAGATTAAGGAGATTAAAAAGGTTTAAAGTCAAAATTGAAGGTGCATTTATAGAGTAGGGATTATTTTTGCAGTTAATCTATCGCAGTGCTTTGTTCTGGAGATTCCTACATCTGTGTGTTTCAGTGATTAAAACCAAATGCTACTGTCGCACAGTGTGGAAACTACAGAATCTGTTACACAGGAAGACATGCTGACAACATAAACCAGGGCCACTGCTATACTGTTCTTTCCCCCCAAGAAATATGGGGCTAGGTGGATCTGTCTGCAATGTTTAGCAAAGATAGGAGCATTAATTAAATATTTAAACAGACACCAGGGTAATTACTCATTCCACTGTCCCACACCATGAAGAAACTGCATGCCTGATACTGCAAACTGTTTAAACTTCATTGGGGATCAGATCAGATGGTGGGTCCGTCAGGGAAGTGAAGTCTTGGTGGCTTCTAAACATACAAATAAGTGGTAGCAAGTGATTGCACAAAGATGTATGGTTCTTAGATCACAGTTTATTTGAATGCTTTTCATTGCAGAGGACCTGGTTGTCAATGATCTGGTCAATAATCCCTTGAAGCTGAAAGTGTGTTTTTAAAAATTCTTATTCAGCTGTAAGTATGGTATCTCTAACACAGGAACGTAATAGTGAAGTTATTGCCATTCATTCACATTATTCCAGTCTTTTCCAATGTGCTGTCAGAGCAGTCTAATTGAATATGCCAGGATATGGGATGAACTGCAGTAAGACTCCCTGTCAGCTTCCCCTTTTCCAGGTTACAGATTTAAACTGGCTGGTTGCCCATGAGATGTGTGTCTATTTGCTCACATGCAGTTCTGTATGTTGGATACAAGGCCACCCATGGAATGTGGATGTCACTGGGTCAGCATTTACTGTCCTTCTCAAGGGGATCCAGGGATGGTGGTGAGCTGCCCTCATGAATCACAACAGTCCATTTGGTAAAATGGCTAATTACTGTTGAAATCAATCAGCTCACTTGTACTGTGAAAGATAAGGGATATTCTCCTGTTGTAGAATGGCTGAAGCCATCTGTATATAAAATATTCTACAGAAAGGTGATGGACATCAGTTTAGGAATATGCGGTATGACAGATCACTGGCCTGAATTAATCTGATTTCAGTCACTGAGTGAATCAAGGCTGCAATTGCTTTTCCTGATAACTGCCTTAAGCCAGCAACTAGGAAATATGGGTTTGGATATACTGCACAAGTAGGTTCTTGTCGCACAATGATAGTGCCCCTACCTTTGAGCTGGATGGGTTTAAGGTTCAAATCCCATCTGATCCAGAGATATGTCATAATACATCTGAACAATTGGATTTAAAAGTAGTTATACTGGGAAAATACAAGATGGTCCAACCCCTCAGGCACAAGAAATCACTGTCCCCCTGCCCGATGGGATATTTTTGAGGAGGTCAGACGATCAGACTTCAATACTCACAGTCCATCTATTATTTATATGCAGCCACCAGCAGCAGTGTCAATGCTGTTTTCTCGGGTGAAGATGGTGGGATACTGATAATATCACTGAGGTAATAATTCAGATGTGGGTTCAAATCCAACCAGGGCAGATGGTGATATTTAAACTCAACTAACAAAATCCAAATTGAGAGCTAGTCTATTCCTTTAGGGAAGGCAATCTGCTGTCTTTACCTGGCCTGGCCCACATGTGACTCCAGGCCCACATGTGACTCCAAACCCACAGCAATGTGTGGCTCTGAATTAGCCTCACAAACCACTCCATTGTGGGGCAATATGTAATGGGCAACAAATACTGGCCATGTCAATTGATGCCCACATCCCATGAAAAAATAAATTAATTTTAAAAAGCTTTCCAAATCCTGAAATAGCTCCTGATGACCCAGTTCTGTCAAAGGTCAATCCTTTCAGGAAAAGAAAATCAAAAATAATATGAGGAATTCCAGAATAATGATGTAACAAGTCTTTTTACTGTGTGCTGTCAGTGTATAATAAAATGTCCATAATATGTTCACATGTATGTAGAGCAAAAATAACCATTTCTACAAAATAAAAGGTATTGAATCTGGTAGAATAATACTGCTTGTCATGTTATATACCACCCTCTGGAAACTACCTCACCACAAACTGAACCATTTTCTCTCCCGTCAAGCTGGTATTTCGCGGAAAAAAAAGCAGCCACTAGAGTTTGAGGCATCAGTACATCTAGGCAACAGATGACATTGGATTATGTAGCAAAATGTGAACAGTTCAATTTGCAGTTACTCGCCACGATAGTTCCTAAATGTTCCGTTGGCTTTAGTGATGGAATTACTTCCTTAAATGTCTCTTTCCCCCCCTCCCCCTCCCTAAACTGATTATGAGCAACGTTCACTGTGGGATACGGTACAACATGTGTCAACTTATACAGTCTGTCATCATCACCTCATTTTGTTAGATACATGGAACCTACAAAGCGACACTTCCATTGGTTCACGCCACACCGGCGGCACCGTGTCATCGCCAAGAGCTTCCGGCTCCTGAAAGCACCTCGGACGCTGTTCCAGCTCCTGGGTGTAGATTTGCCTAGCTGCCTGCAGATTATTCACAGGGAGAGGCCAGCAGCAGCAGCAATGTTAGGGCGGAGAGCAGGGCTGCCCACTGGCTCAGGAGTGAGGTGCAGGATGCGTTGCAGTTCCCACCTTCAGGGTCGCAATTCCCCCCTTCACACAGGATACCGGTGAAACCTTTGGGGCAGACACAGCGCTGGTTCTGGTGACAGGTCCCGCCGTTCTGACACAATAGAAGCTCGTTGTCACAAACGTTTGCTGCAGGGAGTACATTCACAAGAGGATACAGAGGAAAGTCATAAGCAAAAGGGGAAATCTGATACTTTCACAGTACACGCTGGGAGTTCATAGCATTCCTGACTGGCTTGTGTGTTAATAACACTCTTTTTGAAAAGAAGTTTTAGACATCCAATCGTTGCCCAGAACATACAACAGTACAGTACTGTACAGGCCCTTCGGCCCATGATATTGTGCAGACCTATTATCCTACTAAGATCAATCTATGCTGCATACCCTGCATTTTACTATCCTCCACGTGCCTATCCAAGAGTTGCTTAAAAGTCTCTAAAATATCTGACTCCACTACCACTGCCAGCAGCACATTCCACACGCCCACCACTCTCTGTGTAAAGAACCCACCTCTGACATCTCCCCTATACCTTCCTCCAATCACCTTAAAATTATGCCCCCTCGTAATAGTCATTTCCGTCCTGGGAAAAAGTCTCTGACTATCCAACATTTTGTCTTTCCTAAAATCAACAGGATCCCCACCCATGAATGTACTACCATTACTCCCATTGAAAAATTGGCAGGACCCCTAATCAGGATAGGGTCAGTTTGTCATTTTTTTATTCAACCTATTTTTCCCCTAATCAACCTGTTCAGAGATGTTATTACATACCTCTGGAGTAGGTGGGACTTGAACCTGGGTCTCAGTACAGAGGTAGGGACACTACCACTGCACCACAAGCGGGCTTCCACTTTGTCAGTTTTACCTCCAACCTTTGCTCAAATCAGGTGATTGAAGTCCCACTCCAAATGTGAATACACAATCCAGCCTGGCACTGCAGGGTAATGTGTCTCTCAGGAAGACATTGAAACAAGGTCCCCACTACCCCCTCAGATGGACCTTACTGGAAGAAGATCTGGGGAACTGGCCATTTATTTGTTGGAACGTGAGGCTTTCTGTAACAGTGACTTCATACACTATTAATCATGGTGGTTGTGAAATGCTATAGCTATAGAATCCCTACAGTGTGGAAGCAGGCCATTCAGCCCATCAAGTCCACACTGACCCTCCAAAGAATGCCCCACCCAGACCCACACTCCTACCCTATCCCTGTAATCCTGCATTTCCCATGGCTAATCCACCTAACTTGCACATCTTTGTATTGTGGGAGGAAGCCCACACATTAACGGGGAGAATGTGCAAACTCCACACAAGTAGTAACCCAAGGCTGGAATTAGACCCAGGTCCCTGGTGCCGTAAGGCAGTAATACTAACCATTGAGCCATTGCACTGCCCACAAAGGCACTATATGAATGCGAGCATCTAGACCTGCGCTTTCTTCTTTCTGAAACCTCCTTTCAGCAGCTATCGTGTCTGACCTCATGATGTTGCTAGCTACAATAGCAGAGAATGTGAAATCCAGATGACTACAGTCCACTCCACACTGCAGTCAGAGAACTGCAGCTCAGTTTCTTTTTTTCAGCATCTAATGTACATTAAATTTCCACTCTTTCTCTGGAGCACTCTGTGCTATCAGCCATTCTCTGGTCTTTTTAAAATTTATTATTGAGGAGGCCGTTGGCAGGGGCTCCTCACTAACCTCATTGACACTGGACACAGGAAAGGTACTTCTGCAGGAGAGTAGCTAGGTCTGAGGTAAACTTTATACCGTAATGAGATTAATGCTAATGGTCTGTTGTAGCTCTCCTAACTCACTGTTAATGTCCTATATATACTTACGGAAACAGCCCAGTCTCCAGTAATATCCTGGTTTACAATCCTCACACTTGAGGCCTGTGGCTCCTGGTTTACACTCACAGTGCCCCGTCTCATTGCAGCGGTCATGTCTTGATCCGAATTGGTTGCAGTTACATTCTGTGAAATAAAGACACATTTTACAGAATGGTGAACAGAGAGATTGTGGTGCCTTGACATTCACCAGCTCCTGACATGCTACCAGCCCAAATTACACATGCTGTTCTGAGTATAGTGTTTTATTAGCCTGTTGCCATAAAAGCTTTAACATGTCGAGCAGCACAAGTGTACAATCCTGTGCTCGCAAGACAGTTCCTCACTAATCCTCAGAAGTGATCTGTTCTATATAATCTTGTTAATTGTCTTCATCCTGCTACTTTTGGACCTTCTCCTTTCATTACTTGTTTATTGCTTCCTTTGACCTGGGTTACAGCTATCGGAAGAAGATGTAGAATTCACTCAAATTCTATTCCCTCTCCATCAGCCTCACAGGAAAGAAGTCAAATACCCACTGGGTATGAATGCTTCAAACTCACAAGCTTTCAGTTGAAGCCAAATGGATGACCATTCTAGCACTTGGCAAGGACAATAAGAATCATCAATATACACTTCAATTGAGCACGTCATGAAGGAATAGCATCGCTGCACTGCCTATCAGTCCAATCTCCTGGGAAACGCAAGTTTTTCACCTGGACCACTGGGTGGGGCATGTTTGGGAGAACATCATTTTCAGAAAAAGTTTTTCTTGCCAAACTAAAACATGTAGGTACGAGGCTTGTTGTGTAAGGGCTTTAGGACTCTGCAGCAACCTTGTGATGAAATCACAGAGATACTTCCCACTGGGTATAAATAGCACAGTGTGGGCAGAGTTAATTAGCTTTGAAGAAAGAAGCACATGTCAAGAATACTTTTTCAAGAATGTAACAGTAAGATTAGAGCCTAGTATATCTCAGATTACCATGAGTAGTAATAGTTAGTACTAATCTGCAGTAAACAGAGTTCTAAATAAGCCTAAACCTGAAGACAGTCCTTGTATTTGTCTTCTCCTCAGCTGGTTTGTCTTGAATTTGAACTCTTAGGTGTAGGCATAAAACAACAGGACAAAAGACTAAGCACCTTCTGAGGAATACAGAGTGATCAGATTTCTTTGTTGTCTGGGCTGAAGGTTGGAGACATATGAAGGAGAAGCAAATGTAAAAGTAAAGCTTACGAAGAATAAACGGACAACACCAGTTTAGATTCTGCAGTATCCAAAAATAATGAGGAGCCCAACGAGTCCCTGGTGACAGTGTCTCAGCAAGAATTCTGCAGTGTTACTTTGCTGTGTGGTTATCCTGTTAAAGTGCACATGTTGTGTTAGCAGTTTCCCCTCGCTCTGTCTCTTTCCCCCCATCATTGTCAAAAAAAAATGTTCCAAACTAATGATGTCAAGCGTCTCTGTGCCAAGAAAAGGTTGGCTAAATAACTGAGTTTTAAGGTACATTTTATAAGTACATAAGAACACAAGAACTCAGAGCAGGAGTTGACAATTTAGCTCCTTGAACCTGCTCCACAATTTAATAAGGTCGTGGCTGACCTCATCCTGGCCTCAATTCCATTTTCCTGGCCTGTTCCCTTAACCAGTTACTAATTAACCCATTACTAAACCTGTCTATCTGTTCCTTAAATTTATTCAGACTTCCAGCATTCATCACACTCTGGGGAAGTGAATTCCACAGATTCAAGACATTTTGAGAGACGTAATTCCTCCTTATCTCTGTTGTAAATTTACTACCCCTTATCCTAAAATTATGACCGCTCACTCTAGTCTGTCCCAAGCAAGAGAAGAACCAACTTCTAGGGTTTGTTACACTGGAGAAGATAACAGGAAGGAGGCAGGGGAAGGCCATGGAGAGATTTAAATACAGGAGTAGAATTTGAGGCTCTGGGTGTTTGTGAGTTAATAAAGGACAGAAATGATGTAAGAAGATCTTGGGATATAGGCAACTTGGTTTTAAATGGCAGGGGTTCACTGAAGCTGGAGGATGGGAGAGGTCATGTGATCAAAGTGGCAATGAGCATGGAATTCATAAAGCTAAGGATGAGAGCTTAGAAGCAGATGCTTGAGAAATGGGAAAACTAAGTGGTCCCATGGTAGATGTTCTGAAGATGAAGAGGATGTAGGGTCCAAAAGTCAACTTGTGCTCCACCATGGATGTGGACATTCTCTGGTTCTGGTCAGGGGGTTGGGGAGGGGGTTGGTAGAGGGGGGGGGGAGGGGCAGGGGGTTGGTGGGTGGGGTGGGACTGATGAATAAGGTCAGTGAGGAAGGTAGACATTTTATGGCAAAGTCTGAAGAGTATGGCTTCAGTCTACTCAGTGCTTACCAGAAAAAACTTTGGCCTTTTGAGCACTGGATATCAAACAAGAAAGTCTGATAACACAGAAATGACGGATAGGCAGGTTGAGAGGTGGTCAAGAAGTAGATCTGGGATTCATCTGCATACATAATGGAAGCTGATCCAATGCTACCAAGATATTGCCAAGAAGATACTTGGAGCTCAGTGAAGGAGTGGGAAGATAAACCATTTGTCGAGACAATTTGTCTATGGTTTATGGACTGGACCCAAGTCAGGGAAATCCACTGGACCAGGGTGGAGCAAAGTGGTGTAATCGAGTGTATTTAAGGTTGAATAGACAATGAGGCCGCTGAACCTCATACAGAAAGTAATTCATTACTTCAGACAAGACTGTCCAGGTTTATGAGAAGGGTGGAGATCTGAGTGGGGCGGTAATGGGAGTGGTGGACAAGAATCTGGGAGTTGACAGTAGGTTCAAGAACTTCAGAGAGGAAATGGAAGTCGGAGATGGAGCAAGAGTTTCTGAAAACCAAGGGGCAGAGATGTTTTGATATAAGGGGAGCAATGACTCTGGTTTTAAAGGGAGAGAAGGACCATTTAGAATAGATCTGTATAACTGTCTAAAAAGCTTAACCTGAGCATATTTCAATTACATCAATTTCTGAATAGTTCACTGAGCTTGTGGCAAAAAACACAACTCACCTTGAGAGAATTTTACAGATAGTAGGAACTGCAAATGCTGGAGAATCTGAGATATCAAGGTGTAGAGCTAGATGAACACAGCAGGCCAAGCAGCATCAGAGGAGCAGGAAGGCTGACGTTTCAGGCCTAGACCTTTCTTCTGAAGAAGGGTTTGGCCCGAAATGTCAGCTTTGCTGCTTGGCCTGCTGTGTTCATCCAGCTCTACACCTTATTTGAGAGAATTTTAGCCTGTTTTACTGTATAATTTTTATTCTCCTCCAATTTTACAGTTGGGTAAAGTCTGAAATCAATCAGTATGGATCCTTAACCACTCCAGAAACTGATCCTAATTTGCCCAAACAGTGGCTCAGTGGTTAGCACTACTGCCTCACAGTGCCAGGGACCCAGGTTCAATTCCACCCTCGGCTGACTGTCTGTGTGGAGTTTGCACATTCTCCTCGTGTCTGTGTGGGTTTCCTCTGGGTGCTCTGGTTTCCTCCCACAATCCAAAGATGTGCAGGCTAGGTGGATTGACCAGGCTAAAATTGCCCATAGTGTTCAGGGATGTGTAGCTTAGGTGGGTTATAGGGGGATGGGTCTGGGTGGGATGCTCCAAGGGTTGGTGTGGACTTGTTGGGCCGAAGGGCCTGTTTCTACACTGTAGGGATTCTACGACTTGCAGTATATTGCAAAAGAGAGCCAGAAATGAACTATCTGCAAGACAATGCTATCACTGGTGGAAACCACTCAATTGTAAGGGCTGCCTGGTCTTTCAAATGTACTGCAGAAATCCAAACACTTGGGAGGGAGACTTTTGACATTGATATGGAGGTGAGGGGAATTGTTTTGCCATCTGACTGTTTTTACATTCAATGAATCAAATTAAAATTGAGCAGTGTGTAACTCAGGCTGCTGATTGACTGTCTTACAAAGTCAAATTTCCCTCCATACAATTTGTCCACATTATTGATCTGCCTTGACACTTACTTGAGTTATATTGGTAGATTGGAGAAGTTGAGACTGTTGTCCATGGAGAGAGGAAGGTTGAGAGGAGGCTTGATAAAAGTGAATGACAGGAAACTATTCCCATTTGGTGGAAGGATTGAGAAGGAGAGGACACACATAAGGAACTGACAAGCAATGGCAACATGGGGAAAATCTCTCTCATGTATTGAGTGGTTAGGTTCTGGAATGCACTGCCGAAGGCTGTTATAGTGACAAATTCAATCAAGGCATTCAAAAAGGACTTGGATAATTATCTGAAGGTGCAGTCTCATGAGGAGAATTAGTGCTGGGTAAATTACTCTTGCAGAGAGCCAGCACAGACACACTGGACTGAATGGCCTTCTTCTGTGCTGTAACCATTCAATGAGAAGGAGGAACTCCTAATGTTGCTGAACACACCATGTCCTGGTGTTTCATTGATAGTCTTCCTGAGAAGTTCACAGACCAGGACATTGTCCATGAAGATCTATGATTGTGGAGGTCCTGCTAAAAAAAAGTAATTAAAATGTTGCACTGTCACACATAGCCCCTTGTTGAGGCAGTGCCAAGCTTTGGGGGCAGAAATACCATCTTCATAACTTGCCTGAGCCCAGTAAGAGCAGTAACTGCTTTATGCTTGCAAAGCAATTCCCTTGCTCCTCCTCCCAACAGCCCTACACTGTCCATTAGCAGCAGGATGATTGCTGCAACAGAGCTAACAGAATGTTAGATATTCCAAAAGCAAAACAAAAATATAAGAGATTGGGCAGGATGTCTGAAACAAAAACAGAAAATACTGGGAGCGGAGTGGCGTGGACATTTCAGGCGTGGGTTCTTTGCCGGATGTTGTGTCTGATTTTTTTTAACCTCCCCTTTCCCTTTCTTTTGTTCCATTGTCTGTCGCATTTCTAACTCTGAAGGCTCCTCACCTGAAACTTTAACCCACCTGCACTCTCCACTCTGAGCTTATTTTACTGCATCAAATATTCTGCCAAATTCAAGACAAATCCTTCCAGAAGTGAGATTGCCTGGCATTTCACGTCAAATCCCATCAGCCAATTCACGGTCTGAAGAAGGTCACTGGATTTGAAACATTAACTCCGCTTTCTCACCACAGATGCTGCCACATCTGCCGAGTTTCTGCAGCAAGTATCTGTCCTGTTCCGGTTTCACAATCTTATCTATTGGAAAGGGAAGAACCTACTTGTTCTAAAGTTGAAAATAAACTGGAGATCGTAGGGCTAGTAATCTAAGATGAAAAGCTGGCCTTCTGTTAGAGTGAATGTTAAAATAAAACTGTGCAACCTGCTCGGAGTTAAGGCTGCTCTTACTGACCAATACAGACGTTCTCATCGTCGAGTTCTGCTGAGGCATTGCGGTAGTAGCCCAATCTGCAGTGTTGGCAGTGCTGGCCTCGGGTATTGTGCTTACAACTGACACAAGTCACAATCTTGAGATAGTCAATGTAACTGCAGCGATTGGAGTGCCCATAGCATTCACAGTCTGGAGGGAGAGTGGATGTGGGTGGGGGTAGGAGGTGAGGAAAATTCAACAGAAACATCAGTGCAAGCATCAAGATAAAAGTTCTCGAACGGGAGGAAACAATTTTCAGGCTAAAAACTTAGTTTTCAAAAAAAATCAATATATAATTTCAGGAACAATATTAAGTTCTCATTTAACAAGTTGATTTTTTTTCATATTTGACTGAATCAGTTGAAGGAATTCATGAAGACATTTGATGAAAAGATTGAAATAGAAGTGACAGAAAGATGAGTTTTTTCATTGGTTTGAAGGGTTAAACAGAAAAATGTAGAAAACGACTCTAAATTTTTCCACAGTGTACTGTTTTAACTCCCCTTGGAATCAGTAAAATGAGGAGTACTGAATCCAATAAGATGAGCAGAATAAATTTCTTTGCAGTACAAACTTAACTCGAAACCAATATTACACAAGATCAGGACCGATATTTGGAAGTACCACTTCATGTTGTGATTAATGTCTGAGATGGATTTCAGGGCCATTGGAGGTTTCATGGAAGACTAAAACAGATAGGCATTGCCTTTGATCGGCTGGGAGGAGGAAGACAACAGACTACATCCCTCGCAAAGGCAGTGAAAGGTAGTTTGTAGGCATCCATCAAACCAGGCTGACTCAATAAAAAGATGATTTCTGTATCATTGGATCGTTTTGCCACCCCCAAGGCTTTTTATTATAATCTTTGAGGAAAATAATTCAGAATCAGGTTTAAACCATGGACAGGCGGTGAAGTACTTACTTTCACTTAAATGAGTATCTCACTCCATGCATTCCTGCTCATCTTTCTTAACAAATAGTTAGCTCCATTTATTAACTGCAGGCATTTATCTCATTTCTTGGTTCATTGGTCTATTTTGCATCAAACAAAATAAATGAAAGGCTTTGTAATGATCAAAAGACTCCTGAAACATAATGTAGTCCGTTGTGGTTTATTTTGGCTATCATTTTATAAACAGATATATAGATGGAATACTTTAAGCTCTAAATAAGTTTAGAATCTATTTATATCTGTAGAATACTTCTAAGCTGCAAAGTCTTATCTATACTCTGGATACTATTGTTACGGAGAACCAGAGTACAGTTCCTCATAGCTCCATATCCTGTTCAATAACATAAACACTCGATTGAGCCTGCGAGCAGGCTCCCTGCTGGTTTGGATTTAAATGGGTAAGCCTGAAAATATTCCTTTATTTCTTAAAAAGAAAGCAAAATATTGGAACTAACTGGGGAATGAGATGTAAAAGCCCCAATGATTCCTTCAAGAGCCAAGTTCTTCGGGATGTATATTCGGAATGTAATATTCCAAATCACAAGCAGTAACACTGCAGGCACCAAGCTCTCAACAGCTCTCAGTTATACTGCTGACAGCCATAAAGGCACACTCTTATAGGCTATTTCATAAAGTTCTGATTCAGAGATGGAGTCTTGTCACAAAACCAATGGTTAAGGTAAGTTTGATTTTATCTGGTAATTTTGAATGAAACAGCACAGTTTTTGCTGAAAAGCTGATGTTAGATTTCATGGCCTGTTTCACTGCCATTGTCAATGTACTGAGCCACTGTCATTTTAATCTTCTCCAGCTGGGGTCCAGTTGTATATTAGTCAAAGTTCCAGATATTCACTATGGAATAGTGCTGTTGGAGAGGGAACAATCCTGTGACCAATCCGCGGTGCAGTTCATGAATGGTCAGGCATGAAAAATCCTCTCCACAAGCAGTCTTTTCCTTTCAAGTTTAAACCTAGCCAAATGAGAAGTTGTTGGTTTAGGAATGATGGCACAAACTCAGCACAAAGATAATACACATCTCCTAACTTGTTGAGAGGTCCTCATTGTCTTAATCATGGAATGAAACTGGAGTTTCAGAATGGGATAACACAATGTGGAGCTGGATGAACACAGCAGGCCAGGCAGCATCAGAGGAGCAGGAAAGCTGCTGTTTCGGATCAGGACCCGTCTTCAGAAATGGGACTGTTTTATTTCAAAGTGCTAACTTTCTGAGGGGTGCGGAGCGGAGAAATGTGGAAAAGGATAGAAAATAAACAAAATCTAAACACAGAATAGCTCTGAAACAATCTAAATGCTAAACTAGACGTTCACCATCTATTCTAATTATGTTCCTACCTTCAATGTTTCCCTGTTCTCTTGGTTTAAACCTGGGCTGTGTTTGAGGTGGTTTTGGTATTTTCTCTGGTGCTTGAAAAAGTAAAAAAAAAAATCCTTTTATTGGTATTGCCACACATAAGGTTTTAGAATAATCAGGGATGTGAATAAGCTGAGACAGAAAGTGTTAGGTTTGAGTGTGATAGCAGTGGAGCTGGGTAACAAATGAAATTTATGGTAGCAATGAGAAGTTATTGTGATAAAGGTTAAGTATGGACAATCAATTTTCAACTTCCATCATCTGATTTTAATATCTGCATCTTTGATGAAATAAAATAGCTGTAGAACTCTGTAGCACAGTGGTAGTGTCCCCATTTCTGAGCCAGGAGGCCCAGTTTCAAGTCACATCTGTTACATAGGTGTATAATAACATCGCTGAACAGGTTGATCAGGTAAATATCTGGAATAAATTTTTTTTATATAAAAGGAGCAAGATCACTGAGTCAAGATAGGTGAAGTGGTTGAGCCAAACTCATGAAATCTAAGAGAGATAAACAAACAGTCTGAACCAAATTAACTTTTTATCAAAAGGCAGTGAAATGCAACTAGGTGTAAAATAGCCCTCATCTCCAATGTTTGCTGTAGACCTTTCTATAAGTTTCAAATATTGGGACAAAAGGCACTTGCAAATTATCCAGTTTGAAAAAATAAAAATCGACATGGGAATATACAAGTGTATTTTAGCAAACAGCTTTTGGGCAGAGCTGAGATGGAAAATAGATTTGTAACACAAAATTGAAAAGGTTCTCTCTTTCCTTGGCTATTTCAACCTCTCAAAACAGTGATAGAAACATCTATTGACTTAAATCTCAAGGATATTTGGGAAATTTTGCCACTGCTGAAGGTACAGGATATCTATTGGACAACTACAGTCTCAGTTCAAAACCTAATACCCCAAGAAGGTGAGGGACTTTTTTGCAAATTCTCTGGTGTTTGTGTCTGTGTTTTGAAGTTGTGTTCTATTATTTCTCTCAGGCTGAGTAATATTCCTCTTTCTTTCACTAAAATAAACCATGTTATTGGCTCCTTTGCTTTAATTAGTACGATGTTTTAATTGAAAGGTGACATAACTGTTTGCAAAAAAGAATATTAAAATCTTTGTTGTGGCCAATGGAGGAGGTTAAAAAGAGGGAAGCAGATTTTCCCTTCTTTATCTGATTGTAACACTGTTTGACTGTTACATCAAAACCTGTGTGTTCTTTAACAGGATTGTATCTTTATACAGATTGTAAATATACAGCATAATGAAAGATTGAACACATGGATCAGAAATGTTTCCTCAGTGCTGAATTAAGTAATATTGCCCCTGGGAGCAATAAGCTTGCTGCAGTTGGACCTTTGTCTCTCAAAGATGGGGAGGTAAAAGCAGATATAGTTCATAGTCAAAAGTTTTTGGGTGTAAGTAGGAATGTGAAATTAAGCCACAACCAGATCAGCCTTGGTCTTATTGAATGGGACAGCAGGTTCGAATGGCCAAATTGCTGACTCCTACTCCTATTCTGTATGCTCCTCAACACTGCCTAGCAATCCATGCTGTGATTACACAAATCCAGATATTGCTGAGGTGAAAGGGGTAGATGGAAAGTCTACACAAGCCCAAAATTGCAGGCTGGGACAATCATGCACCAGAGCCCAAAAATAACGTGTGAAGATTTCGGATTGAGGTGGGAGAGCACTGGGAGTGACCAGGTAATGGTTAACAGAGTGTCGTGCTGTCAGGGATATGGGCAGAATGGAATTCAGATAAAGTGAACCGTGGGCGACTGGCACAGACAGTATGGGAAAGTTAAACACGGCAGTATGGATAAGAACTTCTATAGATCATTTTGCAACAGCCTGGGGACAGAATATTTACTTCATAAATGAAAGTATTTCTTTCTTTAAGTTTTAAGATATGAAATGAATATGGTACAATCTACTGAGGATAAACAAACTGATTAGATTTGAAAATTTGTGCAAAATTGTCTCTATTTTTACTGCAAATCTGTAATTTTATACAAAGTTGCTGAAAATGTCAACATATTTGTCACCTGTTAAGTCATTTACCTTCACCACAAATCTGAATAGTTTGAGAATTGGCTGCACCATTTATCTTGGGTTAATATCTTGTGGTGTAGGGGCAGCATGGTGGCTCAGTGGTTAGCACTGCTGCCTCACAGAGCCAGGGACCCAGGTTCAATTCCACCCTTGAGCAAATGTCTGTGTGGACGTTGCTCATTCTCCCTGTGTCTGCGTGGGTTTCCACTGGGTGCACCAGTTTCCTCCCACCGTCCAAAAATGTGCAGGTTAAGTGGATTGGCCGTGCAAAATTGCCCATAGTGTTAGCCATGGGAAATGTAGAGTTACAGGGAAAGGGGAGGGAGATGAGTCTGGCTGAGATGCTCTTCGGAGGGTCACTGTGGACTTGTTGGGCCAAATGGTCTGTTTACACACTGTAGGAATTCCGTGATTCTCTGTCTCTTCAATTGTCCTCCACTAGAGGGCATTCCATACCCAGACTTTCTGTTTGGGATAATTACACACATCAGAAACCAGGTTAGTAACAAGTAACTTTCCAAACTTGTCCATGTTTCACCTTCCTAGAAATGAGCAACACTCCAGTATACAACTGAAAATCATCCAGAATATTCTGCTGCACATCAAACCTATTAACATCTCTGCACTCCTCCCTCTCAACTACATCCAATTCAAATATGTCAAGTATTTTTAGGTCGTCTATCCTGTGTACCTACAACACCTACAAGAGGAGATGGTAGCATAATGGTTATGTCATTGGACTAGTCATATTGTACCAAGGAACCATAAA